CCCAGGAGTTGGAGGTTGCTGTGAGCTATGATGTCATGGCACTCTACCCAGGGGGACAGCTTGAGGCTCTGTCTCAAAAAAAAAAAGTAGAGTGAATGGCACAATTAGCCCACATCATATTTACCACCTTGATTCAACAATTTCACAGCTAATCTCCTTTCTTCTTTATCCTCAACCACCTCTATCCACTGCTAGTTATTTTGAAATAAGTCTCCTACACATTTATCATTTAATTTGTAAATACTTCAATATCCATCTCTAAAAGAAAGATCAGGGGTTTTAAACATCATTTAAAAAAAATTTATAATTATTGTGGAGTACATGTGATGTTTTGATACATACACTGTGTAATGATCAAATCAAGGTAATTGGGATATCTGTCACTGCAAACATTTATCATTTCTTTGTGTTAAGAATATTTCAATTCCAGCTGGGAGTGGTGGCTCACGCCTGTAGTCCTAGCTCTGTGGGAGGCCCAGGCAGGTGGATTGCCTGAGCTCAGAGGCTTGAAACCATCCTGAGCTGGAGTGAGCCAGAGTGAGACCCCCCCGTCTACCAAAAAAAGCTGGGTGTTGTGGCGGGCGCCTGTAGTCTGCAGTTACTTGGGAGGCAAAGGGCAAGAGAATCGTTAAGGGAAGAAAAGAAAAAAAAAACAATTAAAAAAAACCACTTCAAACTAAGATGCATGAAAGCCAGTTGAAATTGAAAGCAAAATTAAAAAAAAAAACACGAATATTCCAATTCCACTCTTTGAGTTATTTTAAAGTATACAAAAATTGTTGTTAACTCTTAAATGCTCTTGTCCCTACATCCAAGCTTTCAGCAAGTTGCCACAGTGGCTGAGGCACTTTACTGGAAGACTAGGTGGGAGTTACAAAGACCCAAACGTGGCCAGGCATGGTGGCTCACACCTGTAATCCTAGCACTTTAGGAGGCCAAGGTGGGTTGATTGCTTGAGCTCAGAAATTTGAGACCAGCCTAAATAAGATTGAGACCCTGTCTCTACTAAAAATAGAAAAACTAGCCAGATGTCATGGTGGGTGCCTGTAGTCCAAGCTACTCAAGAGGCTGAGGCATTGGAGATTGCTTGAGGCCAGGAGTTTGAGGGTGCTGTGAGCTATGATGATGCCATGGCACTCTATCCAGGGCAACAGAGTGAGATACTGTCTCAAAAAAAAAAAAGAAAGAAAGAAAAGAAAAGAAAATAGAAAATAAAAGAAATAAAGAAAGATGTTCTGTCCAAACGTTAGACAGAATGGCCAGTTGTTTTGTATGTATTAACATTTGCTCTGGGAGTTTATAGAAAATTTAAATGCCATTTATCTGGATATCTGAGATGCACAGCTTGGTGCTGAATGAAAGTATCTTAAGTTACACATGTGAAGAAAAGGCTCTTTTTTAAAAATAAGAACTAAAATTCAATATGAAAAGAACATATTGCAGTAGGCTTTGATGGGCGCCCAGGGCATCTGCAGCCAGGGCACCCGCAGCCAGGGCACCCTAAACTAGTTATCTCTGCAATGCACACTGGTAGACCAAGCTGCACTGTAGGCTTGTGACAAATGAATATACCTTGTGTAGGCTACTGTGAGCTAACTCTCCTATTTTTGCCCTTTTTACTGAAAGGAATTGTTAATGTGTTTATTTAATTCAAGACTTTCAAAGCAAAAAGCTAACCACTTGCAGCATCTACCATGTTTGGGGTCTGTGAAGTAAGTGTTAAATAATAAGAATGACCCTGCTGTGATAGCTAGCTCCATTGTCTGGCCTGTCAAACCTCCTCTGAGAGATCCTTTCCATCCCAGGCTTGGAGGAGGAGACCCCTATCAGGCCAATAGGGTCTGTCCCAGTGGTGTTGGCTCCTGATTGCAAAGGCTCAGTGATATGTCCAGAACTCACAAAGACCCTGGGGCTTACTATAAATAAATCATGTGCATGCTGAGTGAGCCAGGGCAGTCCTTCCAACTGGCTATTCCTTTCCAAGAACAGTCAGGGCTTGGCTGGGCACACAGGATGCCTACTGGGGGCTCAGATTCCCACCACTATGTGGGTGCCTGAGACCTGAGCAAGCCCAGTTCCTGGGGCATCTTCCTTCCTAAAGTGGGCAGGAAAACCTGCCTTCCTCCTAACCTGTAGGGAAGGGGTTTGCAACCTTTTTTTTTTTTTTTTAATCTCATAATACACTTGAACCTATAGTTAAACTTCCACAGCACACTTAAATTATATTGATCAAAGAAAAAAAAGTAAAATAAAGATATACTTGCTGAGCCAGGTGCAGTGGTTCACATCTGTAACCCTAGCACTTGGAAGGCTGAAGTGGGTGGATTGCCTGAGCTCATGAGTTAGAGACCAACCTGAGCAAGAGCGAGACCTCATCTCTAAAAGATAGCCGGGTGCTGTGGCAGGCGCCTGTAGTCCCAGCTACCTGGGTGGCTGAGGCCAGAGGATCGCCTGAGCTCATCTTTGTGAGCTAAGATGCCATGGCACTATACCAAGGGTATACTTGCTGTGCTTTGAACTTCTCTTGAAAATTAATTAATGATCTTTAAAAATTTTTGAGCCACACCTAAGATCCTCTCAGAGCATACTGGTTGAAAATCACTCCTCTAGGGGGATTTGATTATGGAATTTTCATCCCAAAACATATGGGAAAACAAGACCTGCTGCAAGACCACTGTTTAAGAAGATGCTAAAATTGAGAACTTGGAAAAAAAGACAACCAATGGTGTATAAAGTCGGCTACTTGCTTGTGACAAACTCAATTTTCTGGGCGATATAAGCTGTTGTGTGTAGGTAGTAGAGTCCTTACTGGGAGATTCACTTTGGAAATGGTAGAATGGTTATAAAAAAGAAAATAACTTTTTTTTTTTTTTGAGACAGTCTTGTTCTGTAGCCCAGGCTGGAGATCTATGGCATCAGCCTAGCTCACAGTGATCACAAACTCCTGGGCTCAAGTAATCCTCCTGCCTCAGTCTCCCAAGTAGTGGGAACTACAGGTGCCAGCCACAGCGCCTGGCTAATTTTTTTTATTTTTAGCCGAGACCCTAACCCTAACCCTAACCCTAACTGGAGACATGGTCTTGAACTCCTGAGCTCAAGCCATCCTCCCGTCTCTGCCTCCTAGAGAGCTGGGATTACTGGTGTGAACAACCGCGGCCTGCCAGGAAAATAACTTTTTTCTGCAGTGTCTATCTCCAAGCCTTTGGCAGAGGTTTCTAGCTTTTCCTCATCCATGGCTGGGGCGGGGGGGTGGGGGGAGGCGCTTCAGGGGACATTTTTTTGTGACGGGGACACTGCTGATTTAAAATTTTTGTAGCTAATCTGGAACATATTTTTTCCTTATCCCTCCCCTACCCCCCCAGGATTTGCGTAAACCCAATTATATTTGGTCATCACCAGAGCAGCAGGTGTGGGTGAGTCCCAGGGGACTGAGTCTCAGTCCAAATTGGATCTAATTAGGATAATGTCTCGGATCCTTGGGTGGTAGATTGATCGTTTATTCATTCATTAATTCACTAATTCATTCTCTCACCCATTCAGCACTTCTCTATTGAGCATGTGCGTTTATTGTTCTAGGCTCTGTAGTACAGAAGTGAAGGAAACGGTTCTCCTCATTTTGTGGAGCTTAGGTTGTAGTGGGGGAGACCAGCAATAAACAAAACACATTCTGCTAGAAAGGCTTGAGGGACTCGGGGGAGATCAGGCAAGATCTTCCCGACTTCGGCAACCCAAGGCTCCCCTTAGGTGGTACGTTGCTAGGGACGCACTCCGTTAGTTTCCAAGACCTGTGGTGGCAGAGGAAGTCTCGCGAGGATCCTGGAGACTTCGCGCGGGATCGCCCAGCAGTTGCCGGGAAACAGCGCGGCCACTGGGCAGAGAGCGAATCTGGCTGTGAGAGGCGGTGGTGCCGGTCGCCTGGCGCCATGGTGAGGAGGGGCGGGAGCCAAACCTAGGAGCCGCTCTGGGGCCTGGGGTTCCCGGGTCAGTCATCCCTGAGTGCACAGCGACCCGGGGACGGGGAGGCCTGAGCTCCACGCCTCGTGTGCCGAGACGTCACGGCGGGTGGCCTCCGGGGACCCCGGGAGCCGCACACACTCAGACCCCGGGAAGGGGAGGAGGCCTGGAGGTCTGGGTTCCTGTGTTTGAGAAATCAGTGTCCTCGTGGAATAGCTGTGGGGAGAGTTGGGGATGCTCCGGTTCCGGGGCCTGCACACGCTCGGAGCCGAGAGACCTGCGCTCTCTGGAATCCTGTACTCGCGGGGTGGTTACAGGACCCCCAAGACTCAGGGCCCGGTGTGCAGGGTCTCCAGAAGGAGGCGCCCCGGCCGCAGAGATATTTACCCTGGAATGGAAGACTCGGTGTACTGGATTCTTGGGACCAAAGGTTTCTCCTCACCGAGATTCTGGGGCGTACAAAGGTCCTCGAGGAGGAGAGATGGGGGGCTGCCCCAGGACCTCTGGTGTATGGCGTGGAGCATAGTAGGGTGGCTGGAAATTCCTCCACACCAAGGAGTCCTAGACAGAGGCTACAGTGTTCATGGAGCGCTCAGGGGTACAAGAACTACAGTTGTCTTGGAGGCTGGGGGAGTCGGGCCTACACTGGGAAGAGGATGGTGGACTCCCTGCCTCCTCAGTGCCCCCGCTTGTCTGTTTTGTGTGATAGGGCCTTCCCCTTGATGATAAAATTGTCAGTAACTCAGTTTCCAGGCAATGTCAGCTGGCAGGAAGGATGCTTCCCTGTTGATAGCTCCCAGAGCCCCACCAACCCCCCGGAGCTGGCTGTGAACATCTCAAATGCCGAATCTTCCTCCAAGCCCTTTATGGTCTTCCAGTGAGGTGGCCTTCCTGGAGCAGAGGGATTAGAAAGAGAGCAAATACATTAGGAGTTAAGATTTAAGGGGATGAATCTTTTGAAAGCCTGCTGGGAAAAAACCCACCTAGCTTGTGGGAATAGCGGCACACAAGGGTCTTCAAGGAGAGGCAAGGGGGCAGGGCTTACCCTCGGACTTGGTCCACGCTAGCTGGTGGGAATATGGGTGATTTTTCTTCTTAGTGTTTTCTAAAATTTCCAAGTAACGTTTGTAATCATAAAAATGTTACACATAAAAGCATGGGCTGGAGAGAGTTGTGCAGAGCAAAGTCAGAAGGATAGATAGAATTTGTGAATTCACTATCTGCTTGAATGACCTGTGGGCAGGGAGTGGGGTAGAAAGTTCTCTCTCAGCCTTGTCAAAGTTGCTAAAACCAAGCATGACAATCAAGTAGTTCCTTCTAGTAATCCATTCACAGAGCACTTATGGTGGGTCTGGCTGGACTTTCTTGACCAGGCTCCTCTGTAGGAGTTTGTATTTGGAAGAAAGGAAACCTCAAGTTGTCACAACTGATCATTGCTCTGGAGACATTTCTCCCTACACTTATAAATGATTTCTTGCGGTTCTTTTATGGTGGTTGCCATGCATTATAGCTATCATAGTAACGTTTGGCTATAATGTAGTATTAGGGCACTTCCTTTTTTGTTTCCTCGTAAGTTTTGTATCCACACCGAAGAGGTATTTGCCATATCCAAGGAGTGAGTGGGTTTGAAGTGAGTTCCCCCCTTCTTTTTATTTAATTTTATTTTTTGCAGTTTTTTGGCCAGGGCTGGGTTTGAACCCGCCACCCTTGGCATATGGGACCGGCGCCCTACTCCTTGAGCCACAGGTGCCGCCCCCCCCTTCTTTTTAGAAGGAAAAAAAATGTTCTGTTTTGAAAAGGAAGATTTTCTGTTTGTACTTCTCTAAATGTATCAATAGGATGGCTATGTGTGGTTAAGGCTGGGAACACTTCCAGCAGGGTGATGTGCCCCAGGTGAGTGTTCCTGTTGGGGGCATGAGACAGTGAGCAGTAGGGACACAGGATCTCAAATAAGTACTCCTTTACCAAATACCCCAGGAGTAGATCAGAGCTGCCCAAGAAGTGGAAGCCATTAGCATTTCTCTTACTCACCCATCTCTTTAACCAAAGGCACCCAAAAAGAAAGGGAAGAAAGGCAAAGCCAAAGGCACCCCGATTGTTGATGGGCTCGCTCCAGAGGACATGAGCAAGGAGCAGGTAAGCAGGGCTGGCTGGTACCCAGTCCCAGGAGGGGATGGGTATTGCTCTCACGCGTCTTTGTGAGCTTCTTGCCACTGCACTGGTTGTCCCATTTCCCCCTTAGTATGGGCCAACCAGTCTGTCCAAACCAGAGCATCCCCCCACTTCCATCCTCCATAGTGCCCATTAACTCCAAAGCTTTCAAATGCATTACATGTTTTTTTAAAAGGCAATATAGCCACATTAAAGAACTTTTTAATAGGGTGGCAAGATTTGAAAGGAAATGTTTTTCTGATATAAAAGCTATTTTTAATTTTCTTTATTCCCTTTTCAGTTTTACCCTTTTATGCACCTGGAGTTTTTTTTTTTTTTTAATTAAAAATTTTTTTTTTTGAGACAGAGCCTCAAGCTGTCGCCATGGGTAGAGTAGAGACATCACAGGTCACAGCAACCTCCAATTCCTGGGCTCAAGCAATTCTCCTGCCTCTGCCTCCCAGGTAGCTGGGACTATAGGCACCCCCCACAATGCCCAGCTATTTTTTGGTTGCAACCATCATTGTTTGGCGGCCCCGGGCTGGATTCAAACCCGCCGGCTCAAGTGTATGTGGCTGGTGCCTTAGCCGCTTGAGCCACAGGCGCCGAGCCTATGCACCTGGTATTTATAGAACTCTTATTATAGTACATACATACATAGAATTCTCCTTCATTGGCTCAGTGCCCATTGCACAGTGGTTACAGCGCCGGCCATGTACACTGAGTCTGGAGGGTTCAAACCCGGCCTGGGCCTGCTAAACAACAATGACAACTGCAACAGGGAGTAGTCAGGTGTTGTGGCAGGTGCCTGTGGCCCCAGCCACTTGGGAGGCTGAGGCAGGGGAATCGCTTAAGCCCAAGAGTTTGAGTTTGTTGTGAGCTGTGACTCGACAACACTGCAGGAAGGTAGGGTTGGGGTCACCTGGAGTCTTGTGCTCCACTGCACAGGACAGCTGTAGTCATTTCACTGATGGTCACCCTTTGGGCATTGTACACTGCTTGTTTTCTGATCTTTTAAGAGAAGCTAGAAATATGAATGTTTATAAGAATCCTAAACATTGAATGATGGCAGAATCTAACACCATGAGAACAAACAGCAGGTAGGAACTCTGGTTTGGACTATTTGAATGACAGTAAAGGTCTGTGATGTGAAGACATTTGTCATTTTGCTAAGACTAGTCGAATTATGAGATGCTGTATCACCCTCATGGAGACCCAGACCCCTGCCCAGTATCCTCACCTCAGAGCCCCTTGCTGTTCCTCTTTTGTTGGTCGGTGTCTCCTCTTGAGAAATGTTTTCTTGTGGAGAATATGTTTTTTTTTGTTTTTTTGAGACGGAGCCTCAAGCTATTCCCCCTGGGTAGAGTGCCATGGCATCACGCTCACAGCAACCTCCAACTTCTGGGCTCAAGCGAGTCTCCT